AGCCCCACCTGAATTAAGTATTTTTCTTAATGCTCTCCTTCCCCTTGCCTCTCTTCTCTAACATGTCATGGTGTGTGATGTTCCCCTCCCTGTGTCCATGTGTTCTCATTGTTCAACTCCCATTTATGAGTGAGAACATACGACACCTTTTTTAATTTTTTTGAGATGGGATCCCACTTTGTCACCCAGCTTGGGGTGCAGTGGCACAGTCTTGGCTCACTGCAACCTCCACCTCCCAGGCACAAGTGAGCGGCTGGGACCACAGGCACACACCACCATGCCTGGCTAATTTTTTGTAATCAATGACACCTTTTGTCTCTTTTATTATCTGTGGTGTTTCATTATGAAGGGCCATAGGAAAATCAACTCTGTGCTAGTCAACTACCATTGGTGACTCTCCTCTAAGAGAGTCACCAATGGTAGTTGACTGGATTGAGCAGTTACACAAATTGAGTAGTTGTAAGGATCTACAATCCCTTATCTGTAATTCTGGAGTCCAAAATGCTCTGAAATTTGACAGTTTTTCTGTAAATGCATAGCAAACACTGTTGATGGCAAAACTTGTCCTGTCCTCATATGAAGTTGTTTATATTCTTTACTTAACCCACTGGTTAAGAATATTCATGAGCTGGGCGTGGTGGCTCACGCCTGTAATCCCAGCACTTTGGGATGCCAAGGGGGCAGATCACCTGAGGTTGGGAGTTCGAGACCAGCCTGACCAACATGAAGAAACCCTGTCTCTACTGAAAATACAAAATTAGCTGGGCATGATGGTACATTGCCTGTAATCCCAGCTACTCAGGAGGCTGAGGCAGGAAAATCGCTTGAACCCAGGAGGCAGAGGTTGCGGTAAGCCAAGATCACACCATTGCACTCCAGCCTGGGCAACAAGAGCAAAATTCAGTCTCAAAAACAAAACAAAACAAAACACCCAACAATATTTGTATGTTTTTCTGAAGAAATATTAAAGCTTTCATTGATGGGTTCCTGCCCCAGATCCTGCTGGGGTGTTTTTAATATATTAAGACAGACACCGAACTGTCTTTCTAAAATACAAATAAGTATAAATTCTTGAAACACATATGACCCCAAAAGGTTTTAGACAAGGAAGTCTGAGTTTGTACTAAAGTGAATATTCTATTTCAAGGACTAAAATTACATGTGATAACGGTAGCAGGAAAACAAGGCTAAGCAGAAGTGATTGTTCCGTCAAAGTCCCTAGGAAATGAGCTGATGTTGAGGCCATCAGAACAGAGAAGGTGAGAAGGCAACTGAGTCATGTGGAATTGTGGAATTGCCAATCCTGCCTCTGCGTGACTTCAGTGACTGCAAGTAGAGTAATGGAATTCTTCCAATAAAATGTTTAAGTCAGAACATTTGGATTTGTATTATATAGAGTTCTGAGGAGGAGAGCCATGGTGATTTAGAAAATAATAATATGCACTTGTTTTTAGGAATTTGGCAATGCTGTCTCATTCAGCAGACTGACCTCCAGGGAGAAGCTGACTTTCTGCTGTTTTCTTCTTACGCATGTTTCCTTGTCAGAAATTAGCCAAATCATTTCACCTGCATGAATCCTCTCTCTTTTTTTTTTTTTTTTTCATTTAAGTGGGAATGGTGCAAATAGCTTACTTTACCATATTCTTAATCAAGACATAAATTATCATTTTAAAAAGACTTGTAGTCCCACATAGGCCTTGTTTGCAAGGTTACATGATAGTACAGCCTCTGCTTCTAGTAGGGTGACTTCAGGGCTGGGTGTTAAGAGCTATGGCTCTAGTTTCAACCTCAATATTAATTTCTAGTGTGACCTTGAACTGGTCATGTCCCCTCTCTAGACCTATTTCCTCATTTAGAAATCAGGAGGCTTGGAAATAATGATCTTTGAGGTCTGTTTTGTGATTAAGAGCTAATCTACAAATAACAAGATGATGATGATTATACTAAGACCCTCTAGTTTGTTTAGCAATTTATGTTTATAGACAACTTCACATCCATTACGTTACAACAAATCTGTTAGGGTGTGTTAAGCAAGTATAAGACTGGAAGTATTATATGTTACACGCTGAGCAAGGATAATACTGAGATGTATTACTCTCTTCAAAAAAGTTCACAGAAAAGGGACACTACCCGACCAAAATCACAGAGCAACCTATTGTCCAATTAAAAAAGGGACAGACCATGTGTCCTGCCTTCCTAACTATCCCTACCCCCGTGTTCTTTTTGCTCTGACTCACTACTTCACTAGTTTCAGAGATGACTTGCTTAATGGCATTCCCCGAGAAAACACACTTGTGACCTTAGTGTGGACCTAAGTAAATAGCATTTTTTTTTTTTTTTTATATTTGACAGTATTGTATTTGGACAGAAAATAGCCAGATCACGTTTTAGCTTTTTTGATCAAGACACTAGTTTTCCTTATTAGCTGAGAAGATATTGGCAGAGGCAATTTTAAAACTGTATAAGAAAGAAAGACAATCGGTTCTATCCCTGGACCCCAGTTTCCCTGTCCGGAAACGAACCTGGCACTCAAGGCCCTGTGCCTTCCGGCTCTGACCTTCTCCAACACCACTCTTCTCTATACGATACTCTAAGAACCCAGTTCCTCTGTTGCCCATGAGATAACCTCACACTGCTTTTGCTTCCGTGATTCTCTCTTCCCTTATTTATCTTCACTATTTCAATTCTCTTTTTTAGGCTAGCACAAACACGATGAAGCTTTCTTTGAATTCCTCTATTGGAAGCTAGTGTTTCTTCCTCACTGGCCAGTCTCCTGTTTGACTTGTCAATGATGCTTAACAATTTCCCTTTCATATTATAGTCATCTGTTACCTGTTCTGTGTCACTACCTGACAGATTCTCGATGACAGACACAACTCTGGGTCCTGTCTCTTCTCCAGAAATGTGGGCCTCATGAAGTATGAAATTAATCAATATCTGAACAAACAAAGGATGGATGAGATTTGAGGTCTTTTCTAACGCAAACTCTGTGATTTTAGAGTAACATCATACTTATCCTGGAGCACGTTTAATAAGAATTCATTTAGAAGTAAGATACTTTTTGCAAAGTTATTATAGAGACTTGTCTAATCAAAAGCTAAATGATCTTGACTGAATTCTCCTTCTTTAAAAATAAATACATTCAAAGGTAGATGCCTTGCAGTAGAAAAAAATGCTACCTGGTTGTGTGTGTTTGTTTATTTGTTTTTGGTGTGGGAAAAATTAAATTTGAGATACTGTTCTATTTCTTACTAGCTGTGTGGCATTGGACAAGTCATGTCACTTTTCTGAGTCCATTTTTGATATCTTCACAGGGTTGGGAAGAGTTAATGTGATAATGGATGTGAAAGTGAGTTGCAAACTAAATAAAGGACCCCACAGGTAAAAAGGGTTATTATTATCATTACCATTATTATTATTTTAAAAGTCATTTCCATGGGAAGGTAAATGCAGTCTTTACAGCTCCTCTGAGCCTTTAAGTGTATAGACTGTATTTACAAGTTTATAACACACCCAATATGGAGTTGAATAACAGCCAATCAATGCTAATAGCCCTGGATCCTTATTTACAGAGTGCCTTTCTTCTGAGATCAAGAGCTGTTAAAAGCTGAATCCATCAAACTTTAATTTCCACTCTGCAGATTGTCCAACAGATATTTACTGTATGCCTACTATGTGTCAGGCAGCATTTTAGACAGTGGGTCGGTCATTAATATTGCTAACGATCTGCTTACCTTATGGGAAACTGCAGATCCACAGTATGTGCAGACAAGCTCAGGGGCAGGGATACAGTCCGGAGCTTAAGGTGGGTAGTGGCCTACATTGTGCTAAGAATAATTGTTTCATGAGCTGAAGCTGGGTGCCTTTGGTAAGAGTCACATATCTTTATCCACGGAAAACTGGGCCTTTTCCTTCTTCGCCCATAATGAGAAATGATGTCAGTGGCTGAAAGACACATTGCGTGACCCAAGTTGCAGGGGTTAGGTTTCTGGGCTGCTTTGGTCATCTCCATTTCAGACACTTTGGAATGGAAAGTTTAAATGCAGCTATTGATTGAGAGAGATTTGAGTCTGTCCCGGGGCTGACTCCTGCAGAGCCCTGCACCTGGCTGCAAACACATTTCACAGAGGTGCAATTTCACTTTTATCCTCTAGAGAGAACAGACTCTTTTCCAAGTGGAGGATTTTTAAGATGCTGGGATCAAAGCTCCACTTTTATGTGTGGTTGACTCAGAGAGCCGGGAGTCAGCAGGAATATGGTGAGCCAGCTCAAGGTGCTACAGGAACTTTAGGCAGGTTTCCCATGTCTAGCCATGTAGCCTCTCAGACATTTTCTACCAAAGGGTTTTGAGTAGGCCTCCATGGCTTTGGAACATCCCTAGCAGTCTTATCCAGAACAGGAAAATCACATAGACAATTTGTATCATCTTCAAAGGCAGGATTGTTGACAGTCATTTGACACATTTTCTGAGGTATTATCACCTTTGAGAAAGGCCCAGAGATGACAGGGCCACCTCCCTCCAAAAGCTCACCATAGGGTGATTAAGAATATTAATAATTAGAAGAAGCCGCTCATTCAACAAATAGTTCTTGATACAGTCTTTTTTTTTTTTTTTTACCCAAATTACCCTCTTCAAAGAATAAAAAGCATTTGATGAAATCAGAAAGTGTTTTTGAGGCCGGGCGCGGTGGCTCAAGCCTGTAATCCCAGCACTTTGGGAGGCCGAGGTGGGTGGATCACGAGGTCAAGAGATCGAGACCATCCTGGTCAACACGGTGAAACCCCGTCTCTACTAAAACTACAAAAAATTAGCTGGGCATGGTGGCGCGTGCCTGTAATCCCAGCTACTCAGGAGGCTGAGGCAGGAGAATTGCCTGAACCCGGGAGGCGGAGGTTGCGGTGACCCGAGATCGCGTCATTGCACTTCAGCCTGGGCAACAAGAGCGAAACTCCGTCTCAAAAAAAAAAAAAAAGTGTTTTTGTTTTATTTCTGTAATGTGATATTTGAGATACTTTTGTAGCTAACTATGAAAAATTTTGGAAAAAACAAAACCAAAAACAAACAAAGATGGTTTTGGAATGTACGAATTCCAGAGGTGAGCAATGTCTTAGAGGCAGGGAAGTGGAAGCTGATCCTGAGCACCAAGCATGGTCCTACGCGGATACATTGGGGAGTACAACATAAAGGAACTGGAAAAACAGTTTGTGTGGGTCACCTTGGCAGCCAGCTTAACTCTATGAAGGCGCTACTGTGAAACTTTGAGAGTGCTATTTGAGGCATTTACTGATTGCCCATGTACAACCTAACTCAATAGTCTATAGTTTTTATCTCACGATTCACCCAGTCTCTTATATGTAATAGACTTCTCTGAGCAACTGGAAAGACAGCCTCTCCTCCAATGACAACTGCCATTGTAAGTTGCGATGAGTAAAGACTTAGAATGATTTACCATGGTGATTTTTCCAAACACTTGGGATTTGATGTATATGTCATTAATAATTGTCTTGCTTTTGGCAAAATGGCCATAGAAAAGTAGTAACCATACTGAATCTTTCATTTTATTTTGGTAAGTAATATATTGGCTTGGATGAGGAAAAAAAAGAAACTCTCCTATCTTTGTTTGGATTATATCTTTTGGATCACAGGCTCACCTTTCTCCCTGGTTTAAATATAAGAAGCCATCCTATTTTTGGAAGTAGTTACTTCTTGTTCTTCACTTGATTGTTATAATATTCTTAATGATTTGGGAATTAGCATATTTATCTGGTTGTTTAAGTAAGTGTTCATCAAAGTAATAAACTCGCTTCTAGGTTTAAGTGTTTCTATTTAAAATTCTTTAAGAAATTCATCAAATTGTGTGCGTGTGTGTGTGTGTGTGTGTGTGTGTGTATTCATGACACTACTCTTTAAAAAATACCCAGAGCCCTCAACTGGCAACGAGAGAAGTGTAGAATAGTGGATAGGACCTGGCCCTGGAATGCGAGAGGAATGGATTCTACAGGGACTCTGCCGTTTACCAGCTTTGTGATGTTAGGCAAGTCACATACCTGTTCTGAGCCTTGATTTTTCTTCAAGACAAATTATCACCCTTTCCTGCCTCCAACTAAATATGGTAATTCTCCTTTATCTGTGAAGGATATGGTCCAAGACCCCCAGTGGGTGCCTGAAACTGCAGCTAGTCCTCAACCTTATATATGCTATATCTTTTTGATCTGAAAACAGAGATGACAACGAAGTGATTAAAGAGCAGGTAGTGTATACAGCATGGATATGCTGGCCAAAGGGATGATTCATGTTCTGGGCAGAATGGAGTGGGACAGCAGGAGATTTCATCACACTACTCAGTGCTGGGTGCAACTTAAAACTTATGAATTGTTTCTTTCTGGAATTTTTCATTTAATATTTTTGGACCCTGGTTGACTGTGGGTAACTAAAACCTTGGGAACTGAAACCAGGGATAAGCGGGGAAACCATTGTATTTATTGACTGCAAGGTGTGGCACAGTGCTCACACAATTATGGGTGCTTCTCTCACAAAGCTTAAAGCCTAATACGGTAGGGGACAAATGTTCTCCAGCAGTTTAAGTCACGCTCAAGGAAGGTTCAGGATTCTATGAGAGCCCAGGTAAGAGCATCAAATGATACTAGAGGATATGAGAAAGCTTCCTAGAGGAGGCTGACATTTGCACTGAAGTTTGAGTGAAGTAGAAAGAGAAGGTGGCATGATATTTTTCCAAGCAGGGAGAGCAGCATGGATGAACACAGAGGCCTGGCACAACTTGCTGTATCTGGCAGAACGATGGGAGGCTCTCAGTAGGAGGTGGGAGAGAGGATAAGCATGGGAGAGGTGGGATCTGGGGCTGCAGTGGTGAAGCCTCTTTTAGGCTAAGCTGGCAATACCACTGCTGCTAATAATCACTACCTTTTGTAGACTGAATTGAAAATACAAGGTAAGCTCATTTTTAGATTTCAAAAATTGATAAAATTAGCATTGCAGAGTGCCTAGCTTTTTACCAAATAGTCATTTCTACTATGCATTATACAATTTCTCAAATGTAAACAAGTATTAGCCAGATCTGCCGACTTAACTGAGATTAATTAACAGTATCGAGCTGAGGGATTATGGAAATGATTATGTCCTTTTGTGATATAAAATTTTACAACTGTTCATTTAAATATTCACCCAAGTGCTTTGATAAACTGATCCACATCTTAGCATATTGTCGAGGATAATAAGGGTTTACTAGGTAGTATTTATCCTGTTTTACTTCTCTTGAGCATAGACCTTCAGTAGATTTTTTATTTCTTGGCACAATTTTATAAGCATTCAAATTAAAACTATTTTTCATGTTTATTGTAGTAGTAACATATGAAAAGTTAAACAGGAAAATAAAATAAAACCTTAAATTCAAAATTGTAATGAGAGAGAAGTGCTGACATTCAGTCCACCAATAATTACTGAATCCAGTAACATGTTAAGTTCAACCGTTTTTGTAAGCTTTATTTACTTGGTTTATTTAACCTTATGAACTTAGGAATAATCATTTACAAACTTGACAATAATACAGTCAGCCCTCCATAGCTATGGGTTCTACATCCATAGATTCAACGAACTGGATAAAAAATATTTCAAAAAAATTGCATCTGCATTGAACATGCAGTGAACATTGAACTTTTTTTCTTATTGTTATTCCCTAAGCAATACAATAGGACAGCTATTTACATTGTATTAGATGTTACAAGTAATATAGAGATGATAAAGTAAGTGTACATAGGTTTTATGCAAATACTATACCATTTTATATCAGGGACTTGAGCATCTGTGGATTTTGGTATCCAAAGGCGATCCTTCAGCCAATACCCCATAGACACCAAGATTCAACTGTATAGACAAAGGACATAGGATATAGCATATAGAGAGTGTAGTTAATAAATCGTATATAGCATTTACCGGACTTTGTGGCAAGCTCTTTCTTGACCTCACCTCCAGGGCAAAGCAGTTGGAAGAGGTGAGCCAACAGGATTTCTGTGAGAGCAGCGGTCCCAGGAGAGGTAGAGCTGGAAGGGCTGTTATCCAGAAGGTTGTTCAAGAACTCACGGAATTAAGGAAGAGAGATAAAAAAGCACGCTGGAAGTTGGATCTGGTATCATGCTGACTAGGGAAGAGAGGTCGTTAACACAAGTCAGATGCAAACCTGGTGGCTAAGTAAAAAGAATCTAGGAGCAAATTGCTGAGTGGGTGGAGTCAACGGATGAAGATCTAAATTTGCACGTGGTCCATATTTTTTTTTTTTCCTGTCTCAACAGCTTGGAAAATCAAGGCTGGACCCTTAAAGGAGCTGCACTGGGAAGGGAAGATCTGGGGGAAAACACTTGCAAGATTCAGTTTTTGCAGGCAAGGAGCAAATTCTGATATGACAGGTAAACAGGAAAACAGTCAAAACTTCAGGTATGGTAAACTCTGTGTTCAACTAGAATCCTGGGTGTGTTAAGGCTTCCTCCTCAATCCACATCTAACCAACCTGTTCTCATCTTCTCCCATTGCAGGAACACCCAACTATTTACTTTTCCCCAACTCACCCTACACTCTCCACGGAGCCTTTTAATGCTGAATCCTCTATCAGAATGGCTTTCCCTACTTCATGGAAAAGGCTTTTCAGTGTTCCCTGCTCCTTTCCTGACTGGGAAAGTAATGAACTCTCTCTCTTTTGGATTTCTGTAGCAGAAGTTTATATAAACACTAGCGGTGGAAGATGTCCCACCTACCAAGTATATGTCTTTGAAGCATGTGCAAGGTCAAGAATTTAAAGTGTTCGGTTGTATTTTTGACTCTACTGCTCACTTGCTGCATATTTTGGGCAAATAAACCTTGGAGCCTCAGTTCCTTGTCAGTGCTGTTATGGGAATTTAATAATACAGTAGATATAAAATACCAGTCATAATGTTAGCAAAATTTAGGATGTTTGGTTGGTCAAATTCAATGTTTGAAATTCATAATATAAATGAACATGAGTGTAAACTAGTTATGCACCTTATAATGGATTTTAGGAGCTACCTTGAGCTTAAGAAAGAAGTTTGATTTCTTAAATTATCACACTGCCTTTTTGATAAATTCTTTGATGCCACACAAGGACAAGCCATTTTCTTCTCTTGGAAGTTTTACTATTTTATCACCATTATAACAATAAAATGGTGACATTTTAATTGTATTCAATATATAATCCACAAAGTTATTAAGACAATTTCATAAGCGTATTTGATTTTCTCAATGTTGATTTCTTGCTTCTGATTTTCAGTTTATCATTGCGATGGATAAACATCCTGTTTCCTTCCTTCCTTCCTTCCTTCCTTCCTTCCTTCCTCTCATTCCTTCCAGCTCAGTTGCATCAGATTCCAATGGTTCTCCATTCAGGGCCCAAGTGATACGTGTTGCATGAGCTCTATGCTTTAAAACAATTAAGAAACAACAACAAAAAAATCCAAGGGAAGAAAAGGCACCATTTCTGTTGGCAATTCTCCCACCTCCATCTGTGCTGCCCAAAAGTGTCTGCTTTCCTGTACTTACAAGACATTAGTCTTTTGGCACTATCATCCAGAGCAAATAGTGCTGAATGTAATAATAGCAAGTGATTTGGCATGTGCATCAATGTGAAAATAGAGTTTACAAATGCGCAGTAATGTATCCTGCAAGAATACATCATCTTTTTAAATGTGTTTCTTGAACATACTTATGTTCAGTGAGAAAAACCACATCCATTATTAGAAAGGTAGAGTGTCTCTTCATATTTGGGGAAAATTCTTGATTAGATGATTGCTATATTTAGCCATGGAAGCTAACATCTCACTTAAGGGGAGAATGCCCTCTGTTCAGGGAGAAAACCAAGAATTGAAGTGTTTTAAGTTCCCTGCTTAAAAGGAGAAATAATTGGTAGGAAACCAAAGGAAGTGGGTAAAAGAATCAAACAGTAACATTCAGCTACATTCAGAGCTTGAAACTGGAAAATAAAAATCAATAGAATATTTATCATTCATGCTTTTCTTTTTCTAAAGCATTCCTTCTTTCCTTGACCAAGTCAGGATACTAGCTCAGCTGATGGAGGTCTATGGAACCAAGCAAAGAGATTAATTAATGAGGATTGTGTGTGTGTTGCTGCTGATGGTGGTGGGAAGGTGGGTGTTTCAGGAGATGGAAAATCCAAGACCAGAGGGAGAAAAAATAAGACTAAAAAAGGCTAAAGTCTAAGAAGCCAGAAGTGTAGGCCTTTTTCTTTTTTCTCCAACCTGGAGATTCAGGGAGAAAAGAGCAAGAATAAAGCAGATTGATGGGAAACACTGACAGTGTTGATAATACACCCAATGTAGAACAAGCATTGCTATTCACAATTCATTTTTATTTGCTCCTGGGGTATAATAAAGAGTGAATCAATGGAATTGAAAGGTCCAGGAACATTTTGAAACTTCATTCATTTAGTCATTTATTGACTGCTTCACTAATGACTTCAGAATATAATTACTCTATGCCTACTATATGCTGGGTGCAATGCTATGTGATAGGAATACTACACCTGTCTTAGCCTATTCAGGATTCTATAACAGAATAGCACAAACTTGATGACTTATAAACAATATAAATTTACTTATCATAGTTCTGAAGGTGGGTAAGTCCAAAATTAAGATTGCTGGTAGATTTGGTGTCTAGTGAGTGCTTACTTCTGTGTCCACAGGAAGCAATCTTCCAGCTGTAATTTCACATGGCAGAAAAGGCAAGAAGCTCTCTGGGGTTTCTTTTATAATGGCTCTAATTCTATTCATAATTGCTTTGCCCTCATGACCTAATCGCTGCTCAGAGTCTCCACATCCAAACACTATTACTTTGGGAATTAAGTTTCACTATATAAATTTTGGGTGAATACAAACATTCAGTCTATAGCACTGCCTTTATAGAGAGACAGATATATATAAATAAATGTCAGACATTAATAAAAACACCAAAAATGCTATGAAGATTATGAGAAGGTTTATCATGAGATACTTTAACTGACTTTTGAAGGATAAATGAGAGTTTCCTAAGCTAAAAAAAAAGTGAGCCCAAAGTTTTTATCCAATCTCATAGCTCTGTGAGATTGCATTCATCCCTTCTTCTTTATCACAGCTGAATCATCTGCCAGCTTGGCTTGTTGGCATGAGGTAGGCAATAAAAATGAGATAAACAAGTAAAAAGATATAAGGGAGAGGGGGCAATGAGGCAGGCAGGTGGAGATCATCTTGATGGGGTTTATATTTCTTCATTCAGTAGTTTAGTGAAATTAGTGAGGCCTAGTAGAATACTATTTCTTCACTTCAACCTATTTTCTATTTTTTTTACTTAAGTACACTTCATCAACATGTGGAAGTAAAGTATAGTAAAGGTAGTAAGGTGACAATAGAAGATAATGGCTAAAACTATTGACTTTAGATTCTAGAAGTTCTCAGTTCAGATTCAAAAGTTCAGATTCCCCACTCTAGGCCTCAGGTGCCTCCTCTATAAACTAAAGGGGTTTAGCTTATCCATTGCACCCCAGATGCGCTGACCCCTGCAGTTTTCCTACATGCGGGGAAACTAGATTGCATAATTTGCAGTAGTGGCAGACTGTGATCCCACTTTCCCTTGGTTTAAAAAAAGGAAAATCTTGAGGTTTGTTTAAGATAAGAGCAATCACTGTCTAGGAGTTAAGCTTGGAGAAGAATAGAAAGATCTTGAATGTCAGACCACAAATTTTGCATTAAATTTAATTTGTTTTCTATTTAATAAAGCACCTGGGTTCTTAAATTATGAATAAAAATAGTGTAAATTTATGAGCTAGAAGGTTCTCTCTATTGTTATTCACTGTAGATAATGGTAAGGCAGTTATATGAAAAATTATTCTGGAGTAGATGACTTGCCTGTGCCTTTGAGATATGACACTTAGGTTCTGAGCCCAGTTCTGGATCACCATGTGACTCCTCCCCTGCCTTTAGTTTCTCCATGTGTAAAAGAATAAATATGAAGAGTACATAGAGATGCATTCTAAAGGTATCTCCGATTCTAAAACATTTGAGAAGGAATGGGGTGCAGTATTAAGAGCAGAAATTATTTATCTCAATGAAATAGACTATTATTCTTTTTTTTTTTTTTTTTTTTTTTTTTTTTTTTTTTTTTTTTTTTTTGAGACGGAGTTTCACTCTTGTTACCCAGGCTGGAGTGCAATGGCGCGATCTCGGCTCACCGCAACCTCCGCCTCCCGGGTTCAGGCAATTCTCCTGCCTCAACCTCCTGAGTCGCTGGGATTACAGGCATGTGCCACCATGCCCAGCTAATTTTTTGTATTTTTAGTAGAGACGGGGTTTCACCATGTTGACCAGGATGGTCTCGATCTCTTGACCTCGTGATCCACCCGCCTCGGCCTCCCAAAGTGCTGGGATTACAGGCTTGAGCCACCGCGCCCGGCGAAATAGACTATTATTCTTAAGGAGCAACACTACTCCCACCTTTAGCCTACTTCCTAAGCTTATTCAACATTGAAAAGAAATTTTGTGATTTTTCCAAACATTTACTTTGGCATACAAATGGAGAGCCTAAAAATTGGTAGGCCTTAGGTTGTGGCCTCTGCAATTCCATACTCCTCAGTACTGAATGGATTCAGGCACTGCTGGCCTCCATGTCTGGATGAACCATCCCTGGTTAATATTTGTAATCATGGCCCTAAGGCATTGGAAAACCAAAGGCTGCCCTCTGAATCACCAGAAAAGATTGAATTAGAGATAACTTCAGGTTTCTTGTTGGGAGTACATTTTATTGTATTTCAGTGTTTTGAAAATTGGGACTAGAAGCCTACTGTGGAAAGATGTTTGTGTAAACTCGAGTATGTGACTAATCTGCACATCTCCTTCCTTAACCATTCCAGATAACAGAGTTTTCTGGACTTGTTTTTTATGCTGGAGAATAATATTTTTACCCTCAAGGAGAGATAATCACCTCAGGAAAATTTGGACTATTGAAAAAAAAAGGTAGTAAATACAACACAATTTTTCCTATTAAACATTTTATATATAAACTAAATACAGTGTGGACTTAAAAAATGTATGAAAGTAGCACTTCAAGAGAGTTTTGGCTTTGCATCTTTCTCTAGAGCTCTGTACAAGAAAAATACTCTATTTCTGCAACTTCACAAAAATGATGATGTGTTGCGTTTGGAAGTACTTATCAATAAGGGACCTCCCCACCTTTGGGGACTTCTTGCAGGTTGTTGGAAAAAAGCTAAAAGGAGCACCTCAAAATGTCCTCGGTGGCTTTGTTTGGAGAAGTTTAGAAGCCTTGGAGCCTGCTCATGGAACAGTTTTGAGGTGGAGGCGGGCAGGAAAACACTGAGTTTGAGTAACAAAGAAGCGGGAGAATATTAACCTTTGACAGCTCCATAATTACTCTCACCCCACTCCCAAAACAAAACAAAACACGTACAGGAATGTAACAAGCAATGTGAAGTCGGTGGGGAGAGGAGAGGGAAGCAGACAGCTGGAAAGTTACTGCAGCAAGTAGAAAGAGAAACCTAAATTGTGAACGTTAAAAACGATTGGTAAATCTCTCCTCTCTGCCTTCTGAATAAAACCATACTTTGCCTAGAGACCCTAGCCTTCTCGAAGATTTCAGTAATCCGTCCTGGAAAATCGCATGGGACTGATGCACACAGTACAAGTCCAATCCATTTTCTGGTTTGCAGAGGAAAATCCGGTCCGGAGTTTATTTTTAGCAGCACTTCCCTGTGACCGAATGCTACAGCTCCTCAGCTGGGATCACTGAGGACCGAATTGGGGAGCGAGGCGAAGGGGGCGGGGGAGCGGGAGGCGGTGAAAAGGGGAGGGGGGACGCCCTGCGCATGCGTGCCAGCGCCCATGCAAATCTGCTGTACATCCAGAGAGCAAAGTGGGATGATCTGTCACTACACCTGCAGCACCACGCTCGGAGGACAGCTCCTGCCTGCAGCTTCCAGACCCAGGTAAAAAAAAAAAAAAAAAAAAAAAAAAAAATCTGAGCGGGCACCGTGCATGCATTTCCGTATCAGATGCGCGTCGCAACGTATCCCCTGTAGAGGCAATCTGCAGCTGCTCCTAAGTGTCCTTTGGTGGCTGATTGCAGCTTCAAGGTTTAAGAAATCCCATCTTTCAGGAAGCCTGAGGGGAAGGAAGGAAGGAAATACGGGCGAAATCATCAGATTGGCTTCCCAGATTTGGGAATCTGAAGCGGGCCCACATCTTCCGGCCAACTTCCATTGAACTTCCCAGCACTCGAAAGGGACCGAAATGGAGAGCAAAGGTATGTGGTTGTCCCTATCGGGGGACTTCCCGCTGCATGTGCGTGTGGCTAAGGCAATCCTCGGCGAGGGGACTGCAGTGCTTGGGGAGCGAACATCATACTAGGTCGATAGAGGAGGAGATGCTGTGTCCGTTGCAGCACTGGGGAAGTGTGGCAGGAAGGCGACTTCTTTTTAACTCCCACAGCTTGGAAGACGGTGTTTAATACTCCATCAGTTGCGTAGTGAAGTGTGATGAGTTTTTTTTGGGGGGGGAGGTGGGGGGAGTCCCCCCAAAATGGAGGAGGAGGAGGAGGTATGTGTTAGTAAAGCAATATCTTTTCTATATAATGGATGGACTCAAATAAATCTATTTCAGTTGCTTTAGAATTGCTGACGGGCACGTTTGTATCTGATATCCAATAATGCATTGCTCAAAAAAAAAAAAAATGTTTGAATTTCTCCACCCCCACCTCATGAAGATGGTATTTCTGGGTGTGTATGACCACATCCTACTGCATTTTGAATACATATCAGCAGAGAAATTGGGTCTATTTGAAACAGCATGCGTTAGAACTGACCTCTAAGAAGAACAGTGTATCGGAGAACTGCTTGGCTTCCAAGCATGATGCATTTACTAGTTCTGGACATGTATATATTAATGTTCTCCTCATAAGCAAATCTGCATAATGTATACATACCAACTGAAAAATGAACTGTAAAAATCCACTTCTGAATGGCATATTGAACACAGATAAACACAATGACCGTTACAATTACAAGATTAGATATCTTTTGGATTTAACCCCATCTATGCAGGTCTGTTTCTCCTTCTCCTTAAAACGCCCACCAGATTGTGAGAGCCTTTAGTGATATGGTGGTCAGATATCCAGGAGGCATACTGGATGTATTTAATTCTGGCGAAATCAGAAGAAATGATGTCAACTTTTATGAAACTATATTCATTACCCAGAACTCGGGAAGCTATATTTGAAACAAGATTTTATTTTTAAACCAGGAATGTCAGTCACTGTGGTAATGTACTTAGGATCAGGGAGTGGTGGTGAGTTACCTATTTCTGGATTGATTAATGAAACTGGAGTGTTGAATAATAGCAGTTCTATGTTCAATAAAGTATTTGGAGTATTTAATTAGTAGAATTAAAGTTTTTGAATCTAGGTAAGCATTTATAGTGTACAAAGAGCTGAATCAACATGGATTAAGACTAGCTGGCAATTTTCCGTTCAGGCAAATTATTCTTATGATACATTCATGGGCATCTCCATGTCTCACAATGATGTACATATATGAGAGAATTCATGCCTATAAATATACATGAGGCATATATTAACTCTATTATTGAATCCATTTTAAAATAAAAAACCAGTCCTTCTTAACACATAAAGATCTGTAATATTCTAGTTGATTAAGTGTTTCTGGAGCATAAGGTTAACAACAGAAAAAGAGTATCATTTTACTATGAAACAGTTTTTCTTGCTTAGATGACACCTGGTATTTGGTCATTAAATTTTGTTATCTGACAAGGACTCTTGGTAACAGTTTTGCCTCCAATGTATATACCAATTCCTGGCCTGTCATAAAAAGAGGCTATATCCCTCAGCAATAATTTTATTTTCCTTCATTGCCCATAAAACATGCTACATGTCACTCAGCATTCCAGGCGGTTTAATTATCAGATTGCTAACTGTAGCGTTCTAGTTATTCAGTCTTTTGAGTTCAGAAAGGAGAAAGAAGCTCAGAAATATATCTGGGAAGAATCAGTTCAGAAGTTCTATGTCAAACAAGATAGCAGTTATATAGTGAATCACAGCACTGATCCAAAGGCAATGAAGACTTTTGCCGTAAGCCAACATTGTGGACATTTTGCAGAGGTCCCATAATTGCCCCTGACAGAAAAATATGATGAAAGTCTTTATGCACGTTAGTTCCTGGACTTTCTTAATGAAGCTGAGTTAGCCACTTGGCAATCAGATTAAGAATGGCTAATTACTTACACATTGGCCTCACTTTCTAAGTTGATGCAAATGGCACAGTGAACGATGGTAGCTAGCTTGAAATTTTTATTCCAGCCAAAAAGAGTGTATTAAGAGAAATGTGTATCCGTGTTTCATTCTAATTGGTGCACGTTTCACATTTTCTTCTGCCATGTGCAAACTTCTTTCCCCAACAGATTCAAATCTAATTCTAGGAAGACATTCTCAAATGTATGTATATATAATACTTTTCTATTAGAAACACTTTAAGGATAGGGTCAGAGTCATATTGCATGATTCAGTTGAGGGTTCAAGAGTTCTCTATCCCGTATGCTAATCTAATGGCCTGTCTAATCTCGAATCCCATGGCCAACACTTGACAACCTTCAGATTAACTCTAGCATTTGTAAACCTTTCTTAGAGCATTTGTTCAGTGTCCAGATAGTTGAACTTCAGCTATTTGTAAATAAGATCATTTATTTTTGCTTCCTTATTTACAACTTTGCATCACTCCCTGTCATACAGGGTAAAGAAGAGAGGAAAATAAAGAAATTGATCTAAAGTTTAATTTATGATTTAATTTCAGTGGTTTTTGTGCACCATGTATTTAACATTGTCTGAAAGATTTAGGTTGGCACACAGTCTGAGCGGCTCTGACAGAATTTGTGCCTTGCATATCTTAAGGACTTGAGATTCTTAAATGAGAGAAAGTGTTTAGTATTTAGACCAGTGGTTCACAAAGTTTGCTGCACATTAGAATCACCTGACATACTTTCTAAACATACTCCTCCTGGGATGGCACCCCATACCAATGAAATTAGAATATTGGGGTGGAAGAAAAAAGCATAGGTGTTTTCTTTAGAGGTCCCTAGGTACAGCAATGTTTGGAAGTCACTGATTTAGACTCTTGATTGTCAAAATGTGGTTTGCAGACAAAGTTTTTAGAACTTCAAAATCTTCATCTTTACTCCAGTTCTATTGAATCAGAATTTGAATTTTGACAAAATACCTAGGTAATTTTCATGCACATTAATGTTTGAGAAGCATGATTTAGAGTGAGGAAAGAGGCAGGCTGCCTTCCTGCCTTCCTTCCTTCCTTCTTTTCTTTTTCCCTTCTTCCTTCCTTCCTCCCTCCCTCCCTCCTTTTCCCTTCCCCCTTTCTTCTTTACCCCTCCCTCCCTTCCTCTCCTCCCCTCTCCTCTCCTCCCTGCTTCTATCCTCTCCTTTTCTTTCCCTTCCCTTCTCTTCCCCTCCTCTCTGCTTCCCTCCCCTCCCCTCTTCTTTTCTCCCCTCCCCTCCTCTTCCTTCCCTTCTCCCCTCCTGTCTTTTCCTTTCCTCTCCTCTCTCTCTCTCTCTCTCTCTCACACATACACACACACACACACACACACACCACTCACCTCTCCCTGACCCCCACCCATATCACGTCTTTCTTTGTCTAGGTAGATTTCTGGCGTCAAGCTGGCATATTATCTGTAGAAACACCTGTAGAGCTTTTCAAATGGGAAGATGCTTAGGCCATACACCTAATGATTTGGGTTTAATTAGTTCTGGAGTGGGATCTGGGCATAAGTTTTTTTTGTTTGTTTGTTTTGTGCGTGCGTGCGTGCGTGCGTGTGTGTGTGTGTGTGTGTGTTCTTTTCTTTTTTTGAGATGAAGTTTTGCTCTTATTGCCCAGGTTGGAGGGCAGTGGAGCAATCTGCTCACTTCGACCTCTGCCTCCCAGGTTCAAGCAATTCTCCTGCCTCAGCCTCCTAAGTAACTGGGATTACAGGCACCTGCCACCAAGCCCAGCTAATTTTTTGTGTTTTTAGTAGAGATGGGGTTTCACTATGTTGGCCAGGCTGGTCTCGAACCCCTGATCTCAGGCGATCCACCCATCTCAGCCTCCCAAAAAGTGCTGGGATTATAGGCATGAGCCACTGCACCCTGGCATAAGTATTTTTAAATGGCTCCCAAGTGATGCTAATGGATGGCCAGAGTTAGCCACTGATGTTGGACATTACTACTGGTGGTCCACAAACCAGCAGCATTGGCATCACCTGAGAACTTGTTAGAAATGCAGAATCTCAGTCCCTACCCCAGATCTACCAAATCAAATCTGAATTTCAACAAAATCTAATGGTCATTTTTATGCACTTTAGAATTTGAGAAGCACTGATGTAGCTCTCAGGGAACTGATTGTAACTAAGAATGGATGACACCACTCCAGGCACCTCAGTAGAGAAGATTTGATATTATCTGACTAATCAATATGGAGGCTCATGGATATGTGATTATGTTCTAGGTCTTTTGGTTGTTTTTGGAAACAACAGAAATGAAATGAAAAAGAAACTGTGTGCCTCATAGTGAGATCAGAAAATAAATTCACTTTTAAATACCCTCGCTGCTCATCCTCCAATCACTTACTTTTGACCCCCAATTATCCTTAAATATTTATTCTCTACATTCCTTTTAAGCTCCTGACAAAGTCTGCTGTTAACTCATGGTAATGTGATATATTTGACTACGTAAATCAAGGCACTTCTAAACAGAGTGAATCCAGCTTTATCCTCCTCTATTGTCACATCTCTGTTCAGCCCTTTTGAGATTCCTTTGACATGTCCCTTGCCACATTGAATTAATATTTTATTGGTATAATCTGTATGACCTGTTTGTCCCCCACATCTTGCATTTCTTGCAGTCAACATAGTTTTTGTGCTTTTTATTTAAACAAATATTTATTGAGCACCTAATATGTACCGAATGTACCTAGTTCTGAGAATATGAAAGAAAACTAAGATGCAGTCTGATCTTGACGATTACACTCTTCTATCTTCACTAATATACTAACCTTCTTGTGAGCATGATATGAGTCTCTAACATTCCAGCAAACACCTAGGTGTCTACCTCAGGTAGAACATTTTAGTTTGCATAGTAGGGATTCAGATTATATGCATTGGATAGCCTTAATTAGTTTTTTAATGTCAACTTTATGCATCCAGAGATTGTAAATTGGGAGAGTGTGGGAAATTTAGTTACCAGGAGGG